TGGTGTCCGGCAGAAGCGACTTATTACTCTTGTTATATTTTCTATCACTGTTCTTGTAGGAGCTATATTGGCGGGTAAGATGGTCCTTTGATCGTAGATTTTGGAGCTTGCTAAGTTTTGTTGATTTAGTATCATTATATCTGCCCGGATGGACAGGTGGTTCAGCAAAAATCATTGCTCAGTTGAGGTACATCCATTTATTTGACTCCGCGAAATTTTCATAAAGCGGTATATTTGAAGGTCGCATGTGAATGAACAAATGCGAGCAAGAATTGGAGTAAATGTTGGCTTGACGAGCATCAACATCACTCTCAGATGTAAGTCTATACAGGGATTCAATTTTGGAAGGTCTGAAGACAATTTTTTCAGATGAAGATCGGGTCGTAACAGATCCGTATTCTCGAATTGATATGAGCCAACTTTACTATAACGAAAAGTTTGACATATCTGGAGGTGACTTTGCATAACAATATCTACAACATACGACCAATAAAGCACAAGTTCCAGTTTCCTCAATGGTCGAGGAATTACGGTCAGCTTACCAGCGAGGATTACCGTATCCTATACTTAGCGTCTTGGAGTATTTTTCACTGAATCAGGATGCATTCGATTGGGGAAGACATTACCGAACAGCCGGTCACTATACCCACGCTGCATTGAGGTAAGGTTTACCGAACTCAGCATGTTGCTGAAAGATTTTTTGAAAAAAAAGGAGATTGCTAAGCAAGTTTGATCAACTGATGGTTTACTGAAACTTTCTTTATAGTTAAAATTTGTTACAACAATTGAGACAAGTATGATTTTAGGAAAATCATCCTTTTTCGATGATAGCGGAAAACGGAATTGCATTTAAATTGATGATAATAGGACTGAAAACATCATTTTGTGATTTTATCAAATGTCAGCATTGATACTTGTTTCCTCCAGTAGATGGTCATGTTTTTTAGAAGAAACTTTTTTTTACAGAGAGGATTACGAAATTGTAAAAATCGATGACAATAAAAATATCAATACAAACTTTCCATTTTGTCAAAATTTGATTTGAGATCTGCTAT